TAAAATTTAAATTGCTTCACAAGAGAGATTCTATAATTATGGCTTCTATAGGTATTTGAATAATAACTGCAAAAACAGTGAGGTATAGATATTTAAAATTTTTTCCAACATCCTAAGAACTTATTCATACTATAAAATCACAACCAAGAAAATTATAGCAGATCACACAACTACATGAACAATGTTGACTTTAAGACCTACAATGACTTTTTTAGATTGTGAACAGAGTAAGTCAGAGGCATACTGAGTGGTGAAGGCAGATGCAAAGATACTGGAAGCCTCCCTACACAGGGAATTTTTACAGCAAAGTTTTACAGCAAAACTCAGTTTTGCCCAAGAAAGCCTTAGACAGCAAGAAGAACCTATATCTGTTTCTGTGTTTTGTAATTTCCTACCTGTTGGATGGGTATTTATTGCCATAGACACAGGTACCCAATGTTGGAGAGACCTGAAATGTTGGCAGACAAAGGAAAGGGTAGATAGCTGAATGTGTGCACACAGTGAATAGTTCAATACTATGGCATATATATTTCCTTTATCCATAGTAAATCCTGCTCTGCAACCAGAGGCAGCAAACTGAACAAGTAATAGTTGCAACTTGGCAGAAAAGTGGTCACATCAATACCAAACTGCACAAACACATAGCAGAAAACACAGTATTAGTACAGTGATGAAACACACATGACACAGATTAATCTGGATAGAAAGGCAAAAAGTAAAGTATGCCCCTCCATTTAGCAACATCCCAATGGGGTAAATGCCACATGACAGCAGAAATTTCAATGTGCTTCTAGAAGTGTACAATAAGAGAACAGGCATTATATTCTCTTTGGATTTCAAGTTACTGTTCATGATGTCTTAGCCTTTTCTGATACAACCAACTCTATGAAACAGAGCTCCCAGTTCAATGCCTATTAAACTCTGGAAAAGTTCCTTTTTCAAAAGCACAGTATTCCAACTCAAGGCTCATCTACTCAGACACCAGAAGAAGACTTACAGTCATTCATGCCGGAAGTTAGCTAATAAACTACAGGCAAAATCTGGAATTATTTTATTAATATTAATAATGTATTATGGTGATTATGGTTTGGCTGAGAACAACCAGGCCAGCCTGAGCTAGTCTGAGATAACTGCCAAATATTCTGCACATGTGGCAGATGGTGAAAGCATTTGGGAGACTCCTAATGTATAAGAACTCTGTATTACAGGGGCTCAGATTCAATTCAACAGCGAAGTAGCTGAAGTGGGTCATGATAGAAGCACACTAAGCAGCATAAACTTTAAAGCTTAGGGTTTCATCCAAATAAAAAGGTGAAAGAGAAAGAATACTGCCTTCGGGGATGTGAGGAGAAAGTGGTTGTACAACCTATGTTGACTCATGAAGGTGAAGAAAGCTGTGGCTTATGACACACTGCACTGAATTCTGCATGCATAGGAAGTGGAAGGACAATGTTTGAACTCAGTGGAGCTATATCCCCTTTTAATAGGGCTTACTTTAAACTTGCTTAACAGTTTTCATGAACATCACAGGGTGGTTTGGAAACACTGCAACAAACCTTATTCTTCTGAAGAACACAATCCATTCTCTGTGCTTATATCTAACCTCTTTTGGCTCATCTTACTTCGAAAAAGGCTTTGAAATTCAAGCATGTTCCTCAAATACTCCCTCTACAAGTCCCAGGAGGCAAATGCTAGAGTATAGAGGAAGTAGACAGAACAATAAATGAAATGTAATATAATACCACTGAGAACTCTCTTAGCCATATCCCATGTTAAACCTGATAAAGAAAATCCATCTTCTCTGATTAATTTCTTGTGGCAAGTGGAACAAGGTAAATTGGAAGGAATGGGCATTTATTAAAAAAAAAAACAAAAAAAAACCCAAAACCAAACAAATAAAAACCCCACAAACAAAGAAAAAAACAACACTTAATGAAACAACTGTTGACATCTGATGCTGCCAGTGTCCTTTCAGACTTTATAATTCCTTCACCAGAACAAGCAAGTTTGCTGTACTACTTTCTGCATCGATGTGTTTATGCAAGCAACACTTAAGCCTTGGCTTAAGTTGACTTTGTGACTAACTTTTATGAAGTTGTTCAAAGAGAAATTCAATGTTATTATAGAGATGAGCTCTCCCAGGCTAGGTTTCTAATATGGAGATCCTTCAATCCTTTGCTTTTAGGAAAGATGTAGAGATACAGGTGCTCTCTGAAAAAATTCAGTGTCATCACACTGGGGACCTGCCTGTCTTTTTACAGGATCCAGGAAAAGATCTGAAAGTATAAATTTACCAGAAACAGTATTACCCTTGGAGATACCAGTCCACATTTCTAAAGAATATTGTACTGCCAGCTCACAAAGAGAAAAAGTTTTAAAGTATAAGTAGAAGCTATAACTTAAGTTGTCAGAAAAACCCAGGTTGAGTTTTCATGAACATGGGATTGCTGTCAGCAAGAGTTCTGCCTCTAGTAATGGGCAAAATACCAAAACTTCTCTCCTGTTTGCTAATGTAAATAATATATTCGCAGCATATAATTTATTTTCTTCCTGAAAAAAGATGCCAGCAGAGTCCTTTACAACAGAAAGGCAAGGGAAGATCATGCCAATTATGAAAAATGTTTAAAGTAATGATACCACAGAGAAAATGCATATGTCCTTCACATATCTACAAAGATGACAGTGAGGAGAATAATCCTCTTTCACAGTTCATTATCCCAGTGGCAAGGCATACCTTGAAGCTGTAACACAAAGCCTATTATTTTAAGAGTAGACAAAAAATGTTGTAAAAGGCTATGTGAGATTAGATGAAATCTTAGGTACCTACATTGTTGTGAAAGACTGAAGCCTACCCTGCTGAAATCTCAGCAATCTCTATTGCTTTTCCCCCCCTGCATTCACATCATAAATGTGGCACACATTCTTAAAAATCATAAGAAACAAATTTTTCTACCTACCACCGTTTTTTTTTTCAACCAGTTTTGGTAAGCATGTGTTTTATTACCATCAGAACTCATAAAATTATTTACATTTTACACTTCCTAAACAACTATTTACTTTCTCAAGGAATAACATGCACTTATATGTAACCCCCCCACCATATCCACAAAGAATGATAAAGTTTGGAAAAGTAAAGTATTGAAATGTCAGGGAATGCCAGAATTTGTCTGAATAGCCATAATTATGGTTTGTCTGAATAGTCAAATACCTCATGCCTGTGCACTATGAAAAACCTCTTAATTAAGTATTAAAATAGAGGGTTTAGAAGAACATGGGAATCCAGCTTTCTTTGTGTAAGGGAAAGCAGTCACTATTTGAAGTTCTACTTCACATTTGTAGATGACAGACTGCAAAATATGTATGAACCTGCACACTGTAGAGAATAAATACCTACATTAAGACAAATAAGCATCCAGTATTTGAGTGGCATCTAGAACTTCAGGAATACTAAAAAAAAAAGTTTAAAATCCCTTATTTTGGACCTCTTTTCTTTTCCCCCAGGGGAAATCTGCGACGTTTAAAACCTGGGTGTGAATATTGCATGGTGGGAAGAGCTATAATAACTTCACTCCCAAGGGAAAACAGAGAGACATACAAAAATGTGGGCAGTAGTGACATTCTCTAATTACATGACTGCCAGCCTCTAAATTTTCCACCCTCTCTCTCACTTGGAGCATAAGGTTCCTGTTCTCACATACAGAGCCCCACAAAAGCTCCTCCTGCCCACATCTCATTTCTCATTTTCTCCTTCTGTTACTGCCCGAGTTCTATCCAAATTATTTTCTTAAACACCTACTGTACACTTTCACTGGTCTTTGCATCATGTTAATGCTTGCAATCCAAAGAACCTGTCCGTGTTCATTTGAATTTCTATCTAAAATAGGATTTTTCTGCAAGGTCAACAAATGCTCTGATGTCAGCTAAAGCAACCTTCTTTATAAAGTAACTAGTTTCCTAGATGACAATTATGTCCTTTATCCTGATACATTGATTGCACTGCTTGACCAATGCAGACTATTCCTGACTTACCTCACAAGCACATTTTCATCAGAAAATGTGAAAAGTAAAAATTATATCATACCTAGGTAAATATCCTAGAACTTCTTCAACTAATTTGCCAGGCGTATAAAACCAGAATGACTCCATGAACTTTTTCTCCCTTTGCCTCCTTTGTGAGTCAATACATTTTTTTCTTTTTTCCTAAAAGAAAGGATTTTAAAACAAGGGTGCTCAAATCGACCCCATAACATTTTAGACTGCCAAATTTCACAGCTGTTCCTTATCTCTATGATGGTCTGACCAAAACCTCAGAGCTGACAGCTCCAAGTTCTGCAAAAGCAGACTATGAATTTTTATTTCTCAGATATGGATACAAACCACCAATATGAATCTACTTTAAGCTTAAGGAAAAGAAAGAGACATACTAGTGGGAGCATGTTTTTATGCTGACACCCATATATAAGGGCAGGATGGACTTGTTTGTTTTTTCACACTGTACAAACAATGGGATAGAACCTCACTTCTCACTACTTGCCAGTACTGCCTTCTTCTGATACTTCCAAAGGGCAAAACAGGTAGACAAGACCATTGTTCTGCTTCTAGCCAAATCCAAATATATGTTTTGAACCATGTCACCAGGCACACACAAGCACACACAAGCTGCCTGCTGCCTAGAGACCATGTGAATATTCCGTTTGCTCATCAACTGTAAGGCAACCTGTAAAAAACATGTCCCATTTCAGAAGTATAAGATTGCAGATAAGGTCTGGGCTTCTTAATATACGTCTACAACAAAAAGTTCTTCCTGAGTCTTATTCCCATGTGAGGAAATTGTGTTTTTTCCCCCCCACTCATTGTGGTATTTGCTATTTTGGGTGTTCAGAAACCTTTCAGCCTCAGAAGCTTTTTTTCCTATTCCTTGTATGATATTTTAGCAAGTACATAGGATGCAAAATATTTATAGAGCTCAAACAGGTTTTTACTTAGCAAAGCTCTGTTACCTGTCAGCATCCACAGTCACATCATGAACTCCTCTCTGGATGACGTCTCGAGAGGCAGCAAGGTCTGGTATTCGGTTCAGACTTCTTGTATATAGGTTGAGTCCTCCATCTGTCATGTACCTGAAAATAAATTTGTGGTCAATCAGTGGGAAATGCAGCCATCTGGCAACGTTTTTCACTTTAAAGTTAATGGCCTGTGAAATTCAAATGTTTAAGGTAAAGTTTTCTTATTATATGGTAAACTTATACTAAATATTCCCACTTTACGTGTCTGGCACAGGGAGATTGGGTATCTGCCTGTTTTCTGGGAGCATTTGCCTTTTTCTGTGATGGCTTACAGGCCAACCTCTTTTACTAAAATACTTTTAGGCTAAAGCCCTCAAGTATGTCCAGAAGCACATTTTAAATACCGTGGTTTTGCCAAAAAATAGCACCAGGTGCAAGAAACACCAATCTAGCTAAAACCCCAAGGAATTAGGAACCCAAATTCATAGTCCCTGTTGTTGGGATCCAATTATTCAGGTATGAAAGAGATATCCACTAGACCTTAGAATGATATTTAAGAATATTTTTTATGTGTGTTCCTTTTACTTGATTCTCACTACTTCACATTATTATGCATGTCTAATGAATGAAACAGTGAATATAGTGCTGTTTACTCACTACAGATCCATTAAAAGTTAATGAATTAAAAGTACCAGCAATAATTTCTGGAATGTCTACTACAGTTTGGTTCTCTCTGAGATGTCTTGGCACTTACAAGGGAGCAGCATCACCAGCCTGTCTTACCCACAGGACTTCTCCATTATATTCTCAAAGGATCTTTTGTTAAACTGACCTCCCTCTTAGGCTCTTGTTCTTTCTGTTTTCCCTCTCGTATTTTCTGATAACTTTAATTTACCAACAAGGTTAGCATAAATTTATTTTTGAAGGACCATGTACATGTATGGCACTGAACATAGAAGCACACATACTCAGAAAAAAAATTCTGTACCTCACCGAACCTATTCAAAATAACATACAGACTTAGTGAAATAGGTGTCATCCCAATGTTAGGTTGATGGCTAAAATGATCTCCCAGAGTTTACTCATGATTCAATCTTTAACACAAGCTCTCCTTGAGCCATGAAATGGTACCACACAAACACACCTTTGAGTCTAAGCATGCATGCAAAGCACACAAACATTTAACTTTAGTAATTAGACAGAATCCCAAGCACCAACCAAGGCATGCACACACACTGCTTCTGCTCCAGCTGTTCTGTTGGCCCTCTCCCTGTGGTTCCTTCTGAGAGCAGATTTAATTGAAATCATCTGTGACAGAGACCTGAGGGCCAATTCAGCAGTCTGGGAGCACCTGCCTTTGCCTCTGCCTCCACCCATGTGGTTTGGGGCGGCTGAACAGATGCAGGCCTTGAGAGCAAAGCTGCAGTAGAGCCCTGCGTGGTAGCTCCAGTCTGAGAAGGCATCGTGTCATGGGTGGCAGTATGGATGAAGGCAACCTCAAGTGCATTAAAACATAAAGGGTTCCTTTGATTATTTTCAACAAAACTCTGAGGCGTTTTAGTGCATGGGGAAGATTTCTCCGGCAGTCTGGCAAAGTATTTCTGAAGCATTGCTATCTGGAGTTTGGAGAAGGTAACTTCACATTTGTTTTCAAAGGCAAATTAACAGCCACATTTACATATTATAGTCATCTTTTTATTAAAGACAAAATTCAGACTTTTTTGACAGATTATTTAGCTAGCCTTGAATTATCCATAGATTCTACAGCTCTAGAATTGCATATTAAACTTAGCTGTGGCTTGAACGCAATCCAAACTATGTGTATTTTTTTTCCTCTATAAGTAAGGAGAGACTTGACAAGTGCAACAAGCCTTCATCACACTAGTTTCTAATTATTGCTGCATTCTTTTCCCCAAGTATTTCAAGTAATTAAACTGATAATGGAAGAGGCATAAAGGAGATAAGACTTTACATGCCTCAGTGAATCCTGAAATTTCTGAGCTTATCAAACTGTTTTTAACATTTACTGCACCTAAAAATGTAAACTGAGCACAGAGCAACTTACTATCTATTGAGTTATCCTTATTACAGATGCAAAGCAAAGTCACATAAGATGACTCTATCCACCCTTTAATGTGATAAGCTAATTAATACAACCCATGAGGCACTGCAAAGGATTCCCTTTTTTAAAATTTTGAATAATACCATGCATCTGTCAAAGACAACATTAATATTTCCTTTATACGAGGTCCACAGACATTAAAGTGTCATATATTCCATATTCTCTATTTAGCATGTATAAATATGATATCCTGCTTGACAGTCATTAATGATGTGTTGTGGACAATGTTGTCAGCAGCGCTCCATACACAGATCACTGAAAAAGTAGACCAGGGAGATACAGGAATATGCTTTCTTTAAAATGATCCCTTTTCTAGAGATCTATCTTTGGATGGTGCTTGGGATGAGACACTAGAGAGAGCTTCGATCACAGACTTAGATTTGCCTTTAGGAATGTATCATACTCAGTTTCATCCCCCACTATTCTCTAATCATAGCTATACTTCAAACTAAGAGATTAGATTGACAGCAAGAATTCTGAAATTACAGAGTGAAGCAGTGTGGTGTAACATGACCAGGTACTCTATGGTACTTCTATGTAACCTAGTGTTACACCCGTCAGCAAGCAGCCTTGAGATGCCAACACTGAATTGTAATTTAAGTAAAATTGTAACATGGCTGTTCTTTTTTAATGATGCTCAAGGAGTTCTAACATACACAGGACTGAAGTGACTTGTGTTATTAGATTGATATAAGAATTGCTGAATTTAAAATATAGGGAATGCAGTACCTCAAATTGTAGTACCCTAATTGATTGAGCAAACAAAAATAATTGTGATTCTTTCTCCTGGATACACTAAGAGAGTAACTGCTCTTCTATGAAACGATATTGCTGCTGTTCAAATTATATTCACAGTAGAAAACCTACGATAAAGGCCCATTACAACGACTATGCTAGACAATAGCTAAAGTGGGGACAGAAAGTCAGTGCTGCCAACAACTGCATTTCATCAGCCGCATCCAATGCTGTACCTCACCAGTGCCAAGTACCGGTGCATTATTTTCCCCAGGGAAAGCAATGCAAAATGCTGGTTCACAGGACAACCAGAATTTTCCAGTAAGTAATAGTGAAACTCAAAGTTCACAGAAAAGTAATTTGATGTTAAAGGAGAAGAACAGAATTTGAAGGCAGCTGAGAGTATCACTGGCAAATAAAAAGTTTATTTTTTTATATGTATATTTAAATACTGCAACTATAATGCAACTTCTGCTTGTGTGGCAAAATGTTTAGAAAAATCCTTCTACCAATCATGTATTAGTTCAAATGGGAAAAAGTGCTACGTACCCACTGTTGATGTCATCAGTCCTCAGGCTTTTCCCAAGAATGTCTCCATCACTCATGTAGCCACCAACATCTGCTTCAGAGGATATGTCCAAATCACCAGTTCCCTTCTCACTCATGTCAATCTGTGAGATATTTCCAAGGCGAGAAACAGCAGCTCGGCGAAGCGGGGTGGTGTACATGAACCGAGAAGGGTCTGTGTGGATGAAGCGACTTGCACTGCTGCGAGGATAACCAGCACCCAGGGATGGAGCATCTCCTGCCTGCAGCCGAGGACTGGCCTGCCCCAGCCTCCAAGTCACAGGGGTCGATCGGCTGGATAAGCTTGGTATGCTTCTCCCATTCACCTCAGTTGTCACAGTGCTGTCAAAAGTTGTCTCCAGTGTGCTGCCAAACAAAATGGAGAAGTCAGTGAACTGTGCTTTCTATGTTCCTGAGAAATCAAGAAAAGTGAAGGCTGGAGGAAAGTATATTTGTTTTAAAAATTCTCTGTGTGTATATGCTTTCACCATATGCACACATATGCTTGTACATGCCCTCAGTACTGAGGCCAGTCCCATTTAGTATCTTTATAAATGACCTGGATGAGGGGATTGAGTGCCCCCTCAGTCACTTTGCTGATGACAGAAAGTTTGGCAGGGGTGTTGATCTGCTGGAGGGCAGGAAGGCTCTGGAGTGGGATCTGGAGAGGCTGGATCAGTAGGCTGAGGCCAATTGTATGCGGTTCAACAAGGCCAAGAACCGAGTCCTACACTTGGGTCCCAACAACCCCATGCAGTGCTACAGGCTGGGGACAGAGTGGCTGGAAAGCAGCCCAGCAAAAAAAGATCTGAGGGTGCTGGTGACAGTGGCTGAACATGAGCCAGCATGTGCCCAGGTGGCCAAGATGGCCAATGGCATCCTGGCCTGGATCAGAAATAGCGTGGCCAGCAGGAGCAGCGAAATTGTTATCCCCCTCTACTTGGCACTGGTGAGGCCACACATCAAATCCTGTGTCCAGTTCTGGGCTCTTCAGTACAAGAAACACATTGAGGTGCTGGACCGTGTCCAGAGAAGGGCAATGGAGCTGGTGAAGAGTCTGGAGCACAAGTCTGATGAGGAGTGGCTGAGGGATTGGCCTGGACAAAAGGAGGCTCAGGGAAGACCTTATCACTCTCTACAAATGCCTGAAACGAGGTTGCAGTCAGACAGGGACTGGCCTCTTCTCCTAGATAATGAGTGATATGACAAGAGGAAATGGCCTCAAGTTTTAACAGGGGAGGTTTACTGTAGATATGAGGAAGAGTTTCTTGATGGATAGGGTTGACCAACAATGGAACAGGCTGTCCAGAGAAGAGGCAGAGTCGCCATTACTGGAAGTATCTACAAGACTTGTAGATGTGACGCTTTGGGACAGGTTTTACTGGTGGACTTGGCAGTGCTGAGCTAATGGTTGGACTTGGTGATCTTATAGGTCTTTTCCAAACGAAATGGTTTTATGGTTCCATGATTCTATAACCTCTACTTGTGGGAACAGTGCCAAACAGCTGGTATCTTAACCAAGGTTAAAACAAGAGAATATTGACCCTAGAGGTTTTATTCATCTGTGCATGTGAGCTGCTGTGGGAAAACTGTTTTGGTGGAAAATCCACCACACAAGTGTGTGACTTATTGTGATTGAAAATAATCTCATACATGGAATACTTGAGACATATTTTGTGTGCTACAAAATTAGCAGAGACCCCTGGGACCAATCAGAAGGTGGCGCTTTATCTGTAACAAAATTAAAAGGGAGCTCATGTAGGAAGACAAGGGAAGGAGAGGAAAAAAAGACCTGGAGAGCTCAATACTGTAACACTACACCAGTGTGTCTTTTTCTCATTGCTGACATATTTATTTTTTACATTTAGATTTTTCCTTGCATTTGATTTCATCCTCAACATCCACTTATAAAATTACCTAAAACAAATTTTATCAGCTTCTAAAGAAATGTATATGAAACAATAACTGTCTTCATGAATGACTGTATCAGACACTTTGACAATATAGTATATTAAAGTCACACGTAAGTTGCTAAGGCAGTTTAGTGTCATAGATAATTTTCCCTTGCAAGTCTCTCATTCATTCAGCAATTAGTAATACTCTCCCATGGTCCATATTTTTAGTAGTCTACACAAATCCAGTATACCTGTGGCTTATCTGGGTCCCTCTAAGGCTGGACATGGTTTCTTCCAAATTCTGTCTCAGGTCTGCAATATTCTTGACAGTTCTCATTCTTCTTGTTTCAGGGTCTTCCCCTGGAAGAAAAAAGTAAAACCAGCATATACTTCAGCATGTGAGTTTATAAGGTTGAATAAAGCACATATGTATCCAGCCGAAAATGCACAAATATCTTTCAATCTTTTAAAAAATAAAACTTCATCCTTTCATTAATAAAACACATATATGCTTCTAAATAACATGTGGTATGTAAAAAAACCCACCAAAATATCCCCATTAAGGTTCAAATCTATTAATGAAACTCTGATTTACAGTGTTGGGATTTTTATCCTCTGTAATCAAGGCATGATGCAGCCCCAGACCACTTGATATATTATAAAGTCCCCTTTTTAGTCCTTGACATTTTACGTAACTCAGTAGGAAAAAAAGCCACAGTAAATCTGTGATCTGTCATTGCAGAAAAAAACTAGGATGACTCTTAGAACAACTCTTCAGCATTCACTTAACCTTAACACAGGCTATTTCAAAGTACTTCTTAAGTAAGGCACTTAATAAAGCATCTTTCCTGGACTGTAATGCTTTCCTGAAGAGGGACATTATTCTTCATATGGGATAAAAGAAAATATGCTTCTTGGGATACAAATCTGAACACTCTAAGCACACTCATCATTTATACAATTAGAGGTTTCAACAGCCTTCAGGATCCATTGTGAACAGCTAGTCTCATCTCTCAGATAATGAGGCTTTCAGAACTTCACCTGGAACATCCAGAACAATGTTTACTTAATACAATTAAAAATAAATTTAAAAAAGGAGAGAAGTTATATATGGTATGTTACAAAAGAGAAACATCATAAACCTCAAAGAAGCCTCCAGTGGTCATGCACAAAGAAAGAGAAATGCAGGTTTTCTAGGAAATTCATAGATCAAGGAAGTTTAATTCATTTTACTTTTGAACAACAAGAGAATTTCAAAAGAAATTCTATGACAAAAATCTCTGATTTGTTCAAGGCTAGTGTTCTACTTCTGATCATGTCCTATATCTGTTGCTTGTAAGAAGGCTGGCAAGAAACATCAGTATTAGAGTTAAATATAAAATGCTGAACTTGATGTGCAAATAATTCATTTTTTTAATCAATCACATCATACCTCACAGACAGACCTCACTGACCTGCAGTCAGGCCCTATTGCCCAAACACTCCGTAGGCTGTTAAGAAAAATCTCAACTTCTAACATTAAAAGGAAATAAATTATTTCATAAAAATTCTATATAAACTTTAATTCCTCCTCAAAAGGCAAACGATGCATTGAACTAGCCAACATAACCTGCAGTTGTGGCTTAATGTCAAACCAGCTTTCACAGCAATGCCTGAGGTTTTCCCATTGACCCTGCCCTGGTTGTGTCTTCTGTCCTCTTCGCTGCAGCCAAAATTTCCAAACATTTCCTTTGGGAAAATGTTTGCCTATTTCATCACTCACAAAAAATTCTTTGGTGCTTTAATGATGCTAATGTCTATAAATGTCTGGTTTGGCACCATGGAACTGACAGCGGGATCAACACCTGGGCGGGATGGAAAAAAAGTGAGGATACAGGCCCTGCACTGCTCCAAACTCTCACTTGTCAAGCCACACCCCAAGGCCATGTCTGTTCACAATATTTAGTTTCATAAAATAAATTACCTGTGTACATTCTTACACATAGTGTCTTACTAGAGGCAAATGTCTGCAGTCACTGAAATTAGTTACAAGTGTTCCTGTGTTTCTAACGCAGTAACAACTGTGCTAGATTTGTTCGCTAAAGCACTGGCAATCAATGGATCCCACCAGCTCTTAGCAAAAGTTTCTGTAACACCCTGGAGATTCCCGTGAGGTAAAAAGGCTCATGGCCAGGCTAAGCTGAAGACTTACATCCTGTAAATCCTTTTTAAAGCCCTGACAATTTCCAGGCATACTGTCCATGCCTGCCTCCAGCCAGTTGTGGTGCACTCATTTCCTCAATCACTGCCCTTTGCTTTCCCTGCTCTGCCAAATGCATTCAAATTGACTTCCAGGAGCACATTATATTCCTGCCATAATACCTGCCATATATAGGGAAGATACAGGAAACGTTACCTATCCTGCCTTGAACCAGAGGTGAAAGAGTAGCTTGTTGGTATAAGAAAATGTTCTATTTACACAGAAAGACAAATTCTAGCATCTATGCAGGGAAAATTAAAGGCAAAGCAGTACTTTACTTTTATATTTATTTGAGGAACTGAATATAATTAATATTTTACAGTGACGTTGCCCTTTTCCTTCCTTGTTTATCCTTGTCAGTTGTCCTTTGCTGTATGTTAACATTGCAAATTCTTGCAGCAAAAATGACAGCAGCTGTCTTTTTTAATATGTATTGCACAGTAAATGGCATAACAAAGCCTTGAGGTATAATTGCAATACATTAAATAAAAAGGTACATATATGGCAAGCTGCCAAAATATATTTTTACAGTGAAGAATACTTCGCTTTCAGACAAATTATACCATAAAATTGCTATTATTCTATCCTGCAGAGGTGAAAAGCTTGAGATCTAATCTCTTTTGATCTCTCAGTGACACAGCAGATAATTTCCACCAATTTTAATTTTAAAAAAAAGTTAAAACTGAAGTTTAATTATATTAAAATACTACATAGTATTTTAAAAAATATATTTTTAAAAAATCTCACACTAACTGCTAGAGTGATTTGAAAAGAGTAATTCTTTTTTCTTTCCATCATTCTCTAAATGTCACTGGAATCCTGCTGTACCATGGATGAACAAGTCAGAAAATATAAACAGTTGACAGTGAAGAAATTTTCTGTACTGAATACAAGATCTTATGTTTTCATGACAGCACTGACTCCCCATCCACATCAAGCCTTCTTCTCTAAAGAGGACCACAGGAATGATGAATATGTTAATTTTTCTGAAAACTAGCTACACCATGCCTGCTAGTGGAGACACTGTGGTGCTTATGGAATCAGGACTGGGTTCAAAGGGATCCCAGACTCCTCTGGGTACCTTGTTTCTTATAATATGGCACACTGTCATCATAGAGTCTAGCCATATTTGCAGGACCTAACATATCAGAAGAGCTCCTGGTCCTGTTATCTCAAGTGATTCTGGTTTGTACACTAAGAAAAAACATTCTGTTTCACACATGGGGAGACTGGGATAAGACTACAACTAGGGTAACCTGAAACTTTCTGTCAAAATTCTGTTCCTCTTACAAGAAAGGCCATTTTCTCCAATCATTTGTAGCTTCATCATTTATATTAAACATGAATATTCTAAAATATTGTCCCCAAATTTTTTTGCCTATAAAACAGAGAATCATTATTCCCTTGGTAAATTTCCAGAAAATACATTGATTTCTGTGTGAGATCCATTTACAGGAAATCAAAACAGACATTTTACAGAAACCACTAGATACAGAAGTCAAGACTTTTACATTCACATTTCTGAAGTTCCCTAATTATTTCACATTCAATAATACTGTTCACAATAATTTCTGTTCTTCTGCACATGCAATCACAGCCCAAAGAAAATGGGAAAGTAATAATTCCATCAATTGTCTGATTTGCATGAAAGGATTTACAAATAATAAATGTTTCTCCAGAGAAATGTCCACTATGACGTATTAACTCAGACAGGAAAGGACCTGTTTTACCCTGCAAGCAGGGAAACTGAGGCTTACAAGAGAGCAGGGATTTGTCAGTGACAAACAGCTGAAGAGGAGCAGAGGCAGGTTAAATCTCACTCTCCTGTGCCAGCAAGCTTTTGATCCTTATCAGAAGCCCTTTTAACCTACTGGTACAGTCTAATAATAAAAGGTATGCATACAAAGATAATTCTTATTTCTTTCTTGTTTTGAGATAACAGCTTTTTACACTACATACGCAGTAAAATTTTGTCCTTAATGTTTAAACACAATCAGGGCTAACATTTCTACCAGCAAGAAGCTCCAGGCTAGACACATGACATATAACCTTCAAAAAGCAAGCAGATACTTCAACTATTTAGCTGACTGAAGAACAAAGCTTTGGAAATGAACACTTTGAGCACTCTTAAAGGGCTGAGAGATGAAAAGTAACACAGAAGCCTTTGAAGCACCTATGGCTGTGGACTTCAAATACTCACTGGCATGCACAGATATAACAAAAGTGGCTATTTAAGGTGAACTGAAACCCTGGCACTCACAATTCCACATGTAGGGGTGCAGTTATCTGCAGGGGGGCTAGAGAAGGGGGAAGAAATACTGGAGGGTCAGTTTGTAGGAAGGCTGAGACATGTTTTGTCCCATGCAAAATGTGGATTCAAGATACCAGTTTCAAATTAATGAGAAAAAAATGTCATTAAAACAGATTTATTTACCAATAAACTAATAGCACTTAAACATTTCACCTTATTTTTCAAAAAGCTAAGTCAACTATGTTCAGTTATTCACAGACTGCTGCTGCCCCTGCACCCATCACAAGCAATTTAGACATTTGTCTTCATTTCACACAGCCTTAAGAGGTCATAGTAAGCAAAGAAGAAGTGGCTAGACCCTATTTTTGCATACTACTGCAAATAAACCCAGTTCTGTCTTGGGAAATCACTGTCAAGATCAAAAATCTGCTCTGTACAGATATGTGCTAACACTTGGGTCTCCTCCTGCCCTTCCTGATGTCAAGCCAAAGTTAACTTACCTAAAATATCAGTATAAAGGACCTGTTCTAGGTCACCCAGCATTGTTATTATGACATCTTCATCCAGATGTGCAGTCCCTTCACGCAAGCACCCTTCCTCCTCCTCCTCTGCCCAGGTCCTGCTGGGGAAATGGGACGTGCAGGATGCGTTTTCATCATCAGATTTTTTGCTCTCCTCATTGTCAGTCTGAAAGCCTTCACCTGTACACCGGTCTCCTGACCTCCTGGATGTCCTGCTTCCAGCAGGTGGTATCCCCTGAAATGCTTGGGTTGTGGTGAAGCTGGAGTGGCAGAGAGAGTGCACTGACTGCGAGAATGCCTTGGACAAAGAGCCTCCACATCCAGCTTCTGCATGTTGGTAACTCTGGCA